GTTCATTTTTGAATGACAGTTCCTACGTCTAATACTGACAACGGCACATGTTCGCAACAAAAAGATTAAAAATATAATGCGAATATGTAAATAAAAGGTCGGTCAGGTGATGTAAACAAATAAATGGTAAACAGCTGTCTGTTGTTTGGTTGAATAAAGATGTCTTTGCCTTCAGCAGTCAAAAAATGCCAAAGCCGTCTCAATTTAGAAATATTCACTTCCCGCTTTATTAATAGGCTGCTCATTTGCATGATCAGACAAATCCATGATAAAAATGATTGTTCCTGGATATGAGATTGAATATGATGATATGAAACTGATTTCGATGAAAGTAAATGGTTCTAATATCATTTGTATTCCGTAAAAAACATCGATGAAAACTTTCCATACATCGGCTAAACATGACCACAAGATTATGCATTGATTGACATCAATGTGAACCCATCGTTTTTATATTTTACTAAGGCACGAATGGCGCTCCGGTTCCTGCAACAGATGAGAGCTTGTGCACAGAAATCGATGATTGATCTGATACTCGCGTCGTCTTACCTACGACCCTCTGTGATGGATGTTCCCGTTAAGAGAGACGCAGAGCTGTCAGTTCATTATCGCCTTGCTGTTGGTAGTTCATTATCGCTCTGCTGTTGGCAGCTTTGGCTGCAAGCGAAGCAGAATCAGGCAAAATCTTGGCGTTATGAGGTACAAGACAATCGTATGAGAAAACTTATTTTCTGCGGATAGAAGGGTGAGGGTTGCAAGCATCATCGTACGACTGTTTGAACACATCCCAGTAGTTATGGCTAACGTGGAAACCGTGTGGAAGCCCTTTCAAAGCGGTTTACTCCGGCGACGGCAAGATCTTGCTACACACAAGGGGTCAGACGAGGCTCGCCTTGCTTTACAGCAAATTAAACTTTATGGAACTGTTGCCTGAGTAAACAGCTTCTTATTGCAAATTGTTAAGTTGATAAGTAATTAACCATTCCAAAACTGGGTTTAGCACGTATTGTTGATAAGTGTTTAGGTAAACGATTTATGCATGTCACCCCTATTGCATTTTGACACCTGCAATAGGATGTGGATCGCACGTATACCCCAACGGTTGAATGTGTACTTTTGAATTATAAAGTTTATCCAACTGATAGAAAAACTAATCCACCATATGATTTACTGAAACGTCAGCAATAAAATACAAACTGAGGAAGGTTGATGATGGCAACCAATGAGGTGATTATGATGAAGAGGAGGTTGGCGAATACGAGGGTGATTATATAAGCCATAATTATAGTAGTATTGGCAACAGAGCTGTCTCGCATATTACATCATCATCCACATCATCATCTTCGATGACCGCTTCTTCTTTCGGTTCGCGGAGGCAGACGTGTCAGACAGAGCTTCCAACGTTCCCGATCCTATGCCAGAGTCTGAGCTTCGGCAGATGATAACTGTCGCATATTATAAGCGTATTTAAATGCGTCTGAAATTAGGTCTTCAAAAGTTGCGAATCTTAGGATGAGTGATAGTTGTGTCCAAGCGTATGAATGTGATATCACCCTCCTCTGTGAGCAGTGAATTTGAGAAGCGAATTACGCGCTGAGCTGTGATTGCTAGACAGCTTTAAATATTCTCATTCTGACTAGAGTATCAAATAACTGACAAACTCAGAGTAATTAGCCATTGAATAAATAGCTCATGCTCCATCGCCTTTCAGCAAAAGTAAGGCAGATGTCACTTTATCCAAGAAAGTATGTTTTAACGTACTTTTCTTTCTTGCTTTGCTGCTGCAAATACGTGATAACAAAATTATTGTACATGTTGATGTGAATGCGGCAACATGCAAGGAGTGTCAGCTCTTGAAACAAAGTTCGTCATGAACAAATGGCGGCCATTCCTGACAAAATCATGCAGCACTGCAAGTGCAAATGTACCTTGGAGTCAAGGCTTTCATAATGCAGCCCCCCCCCCTTCGCTTGGCAAATAAGGGCAACTGAAAGACGCAATGCGCGATGAATCTGGTCGTTGTGGAGTTGTGCCTTATCTCTCCTTATTGGCTTGGAGTCAATTTTACTTGTTAAGCGTGGTAAATGCTTGCATCTCTCTTAAGTGTACAAATGAATGGCACGGCGAAGCGACCGCATTGCTTAAATCTAGCTAAGATTCCATTAAAGTTGTGCTTAATGTCAGAGTGCGCGAAATAGACTCTTCAAATTTTCTTGCAGAGAGTAATACATTCATTAAGGATCAGCTGCGAGTAGCAAATCACCGG